TCTAATATTACACTCTATCATAGACATAAGTTTGGAGTCATACTCCCGATAGTAGGAACTTATGTTATCGATATACAATTAATGTTCATTCATTTCATTGGTACGCAGCAATCGTCGTCTCCTACACTTTCAGCGACAACCTAAACCGAACTTCCGCAATTTTTGTTTCACGATTATCCCTACTTTAATGTCTATACACAAATCAAGTATTTGATGCCGCATTACCAGCCGATTAGTAATGATTATGTTCATATTATCTATTCATCGACATGTAAATCTGAATGCTGCATCATCTATTACGCATCAAAAATATTTGGTTACTGCATTTAGTATTCTATTTCCATTGCATGGTATACAAGAACATAGAGTTTACAGCTGGTCTCTGAAAGATACACTCTTGTTCATCACATCCAAGTCAGTCTCACTCGCCGTCATCGATAATCATATGTATTGGTATTTTTGTTATGCCTTAATACGGTTTCGTAACAAATGAGGTTGAGCGCATATCCCTCTAACTACACAAACCACGATAGGCTGCATGACCATAAAGGAATACGACTCCGCATATCTCGTTTCATCAGTCACTATCCTGTTCCTCTGGTCATTCTACTAATACATATTTAACGATAACTCAACGCAAGCGACAACGCACACTGACCTCGCATTTTATTATCATTATCAGTACAGCAATGAATATCAACCGTTGATGCAGTCATCATCCTACGACTCGATTATTTTTACCACACACGAACTCCAGGTATGCGAATTCGAATCTACTAATCGCTGATCGATGCTATTTACTCTACTGCGGCTTATCAGAACATATTTCACTGTTCTTTATCGTCATATTTAGTCGGCACCATAGACCAATTTCTATTATATTCTACATTACTTATTTCCACGATTTATTACGCTGTCATACGTATTAATGATTTATTACTCTATTTTCACGATATTTCGAATCGCTCATACGAACCTGTTATTTTATCATCCAGACAGTCACGACATATATGCATGTTAAATTTTTTGTACGCTTACTAATGTATTCATAACCACATTTTAGCATTTCAATTTTTGTCCGCATCTTTGACGATATTCATGCACATTTTTACACAAGTATGACACTTTCGTTTAATACGCTCACCCGTCACATGACACTGTAATTTTTCAGGTATTGTACCATTTTTTTTCCACATTTTGACGTTATTCATATACCACTTGAGTGTTATTTTTCGAAAACAGACATTTTTTTATAAATGTGCTATTTTCTATAAGGGGGCTATGTAGTATCGGTGTATATGTTAAGCCCATATACCTTATTCTAGTTGCTGGCCAAGCCAATTCGCCTATCCATTATGAGTCATATTTTGATCTTGTTAATCATTTGCTTATTAACATTGACTATACTTTTATATGAACATATATGTGTACACTTCGTATCTTATTCATCGTATGTCTGTCACTCATTTTTGTCCGACTATAAATGTTGATTAACGCTTGCTTAAATCGAGTTGGCTTCTCCGCCATCTCCAATACGCATTATCTTTCGCCTCGCTCTCTCGCTCGTTCATATTCGCTCAGGTGTTGTTAACTTTCTAACCTGAGTTATTCGACAATAAACTGTAGTTACTGCTATCATTCGTCTTCTGATTTTACGCACCGTTAAGTTTAGAATTATAACGGTTATCGAAGTAAACGATTAACGAATTGCGGCACTACATACTCACTGACTTCTCTCTGTATTACTGTTAAGAGGATAAAAGTGAATGTTCGGTGCTTTAACCGGGTTAGCAGATATGGAGGATCCATCTAGGGGATCCGGAAAATCCTGGTTCCAAACCAATGGTGCATATGGGCTCCAGGATCCTGAAGGGACAGATGGCGTATGAACTAATTATTGATCCCCGACCATCACATGACTACATCTCTTGAAGTTGCTTCACTGCCTTGTGGATCAGACCTTTAGGTTGAAGGCTTAGGTTGTGGCCACCCAAGAAAATAACCTGCTTCGGTCCTGGCACCCGAGCAGTATCACAGCCCTCACACAAATCAAATGGTATCTGTGTAGCGCATCTATATCTGATGCCCATTTTTACCAACATTTATATGTTCAAAAAAATAAATAGTAATAATGACTTTAAGTTGTAACTCAAACCGTTCAAGTTCCTAAGACTCAATTACAGTCCGTCTTAAACGATGTCTAATCGACCACAATTTTAGGCAGTTGGATTGTATTATAAATTTATGGATTATAAGTCCCCTGTGTTCTCCAATACATAATTGGAGAGTTATTAATTTCCACGTATTCTATGAGTGTGTGTGAGAAAATCACCTGAAAGTCGTGAATTTAGTTTTATTGTTTATTCGCTTTCGGCTAAAAGATTTATCCTTAATTTAGAAATTTTAGTATGAAAAATGTGTATAATATAATTTGACAATCCTCACCTTTACGTCTGCATTGGATCCTCTTTGTTCATCGATGATGCTTCCCAGGTACGTGCAAGATTCCATATCTTCCAGAGTTTCTCCATCTAGTGGGAATGGTAAGTATTTTCTGTGTTGTATTTGTGGATTATAGTTCTTCCAATATGTATGTTGAGGCCTAGTGATACAGAGTCTGCTGCTACACTAGTCTTGATCTTCATTTGTTCGTGTGTATGGGATAGAAGGGCTAGCGAAATCCAAATCGTCTAGTTGGATTCAAACTGACTACTGTATTCTGTACTCCTCTTCATATGTGAAGATCTTCATTATCTAGTCAACTACTGGAAAAAAGAGGGGGAGTTGACAGTCTTGTCTGACTCCATTGCTTACTTTGAATGTGTCTGTCAGTTATCCTTGATTAATTATTTTCAGGGTGATCTGTCGTATGAATTCCAGAAGATGTTGACTATCTTCTCAGGTACACCATAGCGTCGAAGAAGTTTCCATAATGTTCTACTATCCACACTGTCGAACGCTTTCTCATAGTCGATAAGGTTGATATATAGTGACAAAACCCATTAAATTGATTGTTCAACTACGGTCTGTAGTGTCACTATTTTGTCTGTGCACAACCGATCCTTAAGTAATTCAGATTGTTGATCTCGAAGTTGGGAGTCTACTGAATATCTCGTCCGATTTAGTAACACTCTGTTGAAAACGTTTACTAGTATCGATAGCAGTGTGATTCCTTTGCAGTTTTTACAACTGCTCAGACCACCGTTCTTTGGCATCTTGATGAGGTGTCCTTCTTTCCAGTTTGTCGATGGCATTTGTCCTTCCTCTCAAATATTCCTCAATAAAATGTGGAGCATGTTTTCAGTTGATTCTATGTCTGACTTGAGTGCTGTCCGGTTCTGCTGCTTTCCCACTCTTCATTTGTCTGATGACCGGCCATCCTGATTTCTTCGATTTTTGGTGGAGCGATATCTATTGGGAAGTCTATGTGTGCTACTTCGTAGTCCGATGGGTTCAGTGGAGCTGACCTATTCATGAGTTCCTCAAAGTGCTTTACGAGTCTGTTCCTGTCATCTTGAATGTCGATGACTGTCCTTCCTTCTTTGTCCTTGAACGGTTTTTCTGATTTACTTTATTTCCTTACCAGTTTATTCGTTGTGTCATGTAGTTGTTTCATGTTTCCTTTTATTGCAGCTTTTTCCGCTGTTGTTGTTAGCTCTTTCACATATTTCTGCTTGTCAACTCTAATGCTCTTATTCACTTACCTGTTTGCTTCAGTGTATTCAGTTGTGCCTTGACTTTCTTTATTCTTGTCCGACTGTTGTTAATTGCTGTCTTCTCCCTCTTCTTCCTTTCTTGAATCATACCCAGGGTTTCGATATAGATTCATTCCTTAAGATGATACTTCTTGCGACCCAGTTTTTCGGCAGGTCTAAGACAGACTGTATTAAACATTTGTATTGCTGTTTCCTCCGTTATCTAGTGTTTCTTTAGATTCACTATCATCTTGGCAACCATCAGATAGTGATCTAAGGCTACATCAGCTCTTCTCTAGGTTCTCACGTCTTCCATTGAGCTTGTGAAGTTCTTAATGATACAAATATGGTATATTTGATTCTCTGTGGTGTGATCCGGTGAGACCCATGTTGCTTTTTCTGCAGGTACATCCAGTTGACGAGTCCAAAATAGTATGAAACGCGCGTCAAACTGGATTCCACTGCTAGCCAGTATCCATCTTTGATTACAATGCTTGTGAATTAAGGCTATATCGATGCAATACGCACAGTATGCCAAATAAGGGACTGATCAATTTCAATCCTAAACATCAATCGGAAGATTCAAACAAATAACAATAAAAAACCCTTTGTGATAATGATCATATGCTCACTAGTGACTGGTTCCTTGAGGTAATTCCTGGAGTTTTAGTGAGAAGTCGTGGCCAGTGAAGCTAATCCATGTCAGGTAAAGACAGGTATCTACCTCAGTACATTGGAAGTTGGTTGAGCAATTTCGTGGATTGGTTGAGGTTAGACATTAACACCATTGGATGCCAGCTCAGTGGTCTATCGGTTAAGGGCTCTGGCTCGAGACTGGTTGGTCCTGGGTTCGAATCTCGCGAGAGCGGGTTCGTTGATGCGCACTGCTGAGGATTCTCATAATAGGACGAAACAGCCGTCCAGTGCTTCCAGGTTTTCCACAGTGGTCTAGTTTCAATTGACTCATGATCTTAACTATAAAAATACTAACTGAATTTATCATACAGTAAACAGTTAATTTGCAAACTATCAATCTTGACTATTCCTTCTACAAATATCAATCCATCGTCTCCAATTATTATTATTATTATTATTATTATTATTATTGTTCATTCATTTTTATACCAATTCCAACTTGTTCCTGCTCTCTCTTTCTCCTTATCGATCTTCTAGGGAAATATATTCAATGCCCGACTATCATTATATACTACTTAATTTAAGGTTAATTCAATAAATGAATATACTTGTTTTCTGTATATATCTATATCAGAACTAAAGAAAATATATTTAAGTATAGTTTATAAAATATTTTGAATGTGTCCTTAGGATGAAATCATAAATGAATTATAAGTGGGTGTAAGTATCAGTATTCTTGTGTGCTAACTACTGCACAATTTGAATTTCTATCTATATATGAATCAGTTCTGATTCGTTCTTCTTATATATTTTCTTCATTTATTAAATTAACACAAAAGGTAATAATCATAATCATAATTATAAACTAAACACAATTAACTATGACTTACTCAAATGGTTGTATGTACTGATATGTCTGTATTCTTATATGTATATCTATGTGCACATATATACTACTGTGCATGAGTACTTGGAAGGATACAGTTTTTGTATTATTGACTGATACTACTTATTACAATTTCTATATTGTCCATTACAAATATTACTATTATTATTACTAAGATTACTTAGTAACTATATATATATATAGAGAGAGGAACCATTCATAGCAACTATTAAAAGGGATATATTTTTCCACTTGGAACAAATTTACCTAATGTAATCTATCTCTCCCCTATCTATATCCATATCCATCTACATATTATTGATTTTGTGTATAACATTCATTCATTTAGGTATCATTGTATAGTGGTGACATAATCATAATCATTTTTTTTTTAAAAACCAAGGCAACAAAAAAAGGGGGATGGATAATCCACGGAATCTTTTATGTGAATTATTTTATAAACATTTAAATAATTCAAATAAACATTCATTATTAACACAATTAAATACAGAATATAATCAAATACAACAAAATACAAGTAAGATTATTTTGTTAATATTATTATTATTAATAATAATTTTAAATGTATTATTAAATCAAATTATTAACGCCTGGTAACCCTCGTGGAGGAGCATCCATTGCCCACTAGCAATGTTCATCCAATCTTGTCTTCGGAAATTATTTCCAGTTCCTATTCATCATTCTTATGTCTGTTACTGATATCCTTCCTATTTTCTGTTTCGCTTCAGGATTCCACATTAGTACTTGACTCGTGATGTAGATATATATGTATATATAATTCTGTTTCCCAACTAGATCATCTTTTGAGGTTATTAGTGATAGTTAAAAACTCAGATTCGCTTTAAAATTTTGCACCATTATTCAATGATAACTATATATAGTTATTTATCTAATGTCAACTATTTCTATATAAGGTATAAAGTATATGAGTTTAGGAATGTATAGAAGTTAAATAATTGAATTCTTGAATGTAATTTCACTTTTAAAGCCTAAAAAAAACATATAGATAGTAAAACTAATGTCTATCAAATCATTGTGTATAGTTACAAAATACATCGTACTCATACTGTAGTGAACAAGAACACAAATGGGGACAATCGAATGTATTCAGTCACGAAATTACAGAATATCTCACTAGAATCCGATAACCATACAGTAGACAACTAATATGTAAACTATCAATCAATTACCTCAACATTGACCGTTCCTTCTGTAAATATCAATCCATCTAGATGACAGGAATGGGTTGCCTAGATATTCAAACGCGATGGTGTTTGAAGCGGAAGGTGCTGGATTCGAGTTCCAGAGTACACATCATTTCTGAAATGCAGGTGTACATCCAGCTGACGAATCTCAAATAGGACAATGAAACACGTGTCCTGGATTTCACTGCTAGCCACTATCTATCTTTGCTTAGAATGCTTGAGAATTAAAGTTATGTCAAGGCATAACTCACAGTATGCACATATGCTAATTAGAGACTGATCAATTGCAGTCGTTAACATCAATGAGAAGATTGAAACAAACAATACTAACTGAATTTATCATACAGTGAAGAGTTTATATGCAAACTATCAATCAATTGCCTCAATCTTGACTATTCCTTCTGCAAATATCAGTTCATCGTCTTTGACTTTATTGTTCATACATTTTCATACCAATTCTATCCCGTTCCCGCACTCTCCTTATCGATCTTCTAGGGAAATACATTCTATGCCTGACCATCATCATATACTACTTATGTGGATATAAGTAATCCATACCACAGTAGGATCAATTTACTAATGACCATTAAATGATACAATATAATAATGTTTAGTTAGTAGTGTAGTGAATAAGGACACGAGTGGGAATAATCGAATGTATTTGACACGAAAAAGTCTCACTAAAATCTGACAACCATACAGTCAATAGTTAATCTGCAATCTACTAACCAATCGACTCAATCTTGACCGTTCCTTCGGCGAATATTAATCCATCGTCTTCAATTTTATTGTTTATGCAGTTCCATAGCTACTACGCTTCGTTCCTGTTCTTTCCTTATCGATCTTCTATTGACCATCATTATATACTACTTATATCGATATAAGTAATCCGGTATACTTTTCTTTCTCTCTCTTTTTTTTAGTGTTTAATTATTTATGTCAATCATTATTATCAATCAATTTTATGGATATAAATCAAATAAATTTAGAAATTTTAAATTTTTTTTTTGAATTTTTAAAAATGGCGCAAACAACCTCATCTTCATTTGTTTGTTTAAATGATAAATCATATATTCAATTTTTATTATGTTATATTAATATAATACAAATGTATTATGATTATTATAATAATAATAAGAATATGAATAAGGGTAATAATAACAATATAGAAGAAGCGGAAGACCTACGTGTTATAATCAATAAAACAAATAATATATCATCATCAATTGACCTATTAGGATTATCATTATCTTTATCGTCATCATCATCTTCACCACCATCGTCGTCGTCATCTTCACCGCCATCATCATCGTCATCTTCACCGCCATCATCATCATCATCATCATCATCATCATCATCATCATCATCTTCTTTACCGCCATCATCATCGAATATTATTGATTATCAAAAGAATAGAAATGAATCTCAATTCCATTCTATTCCATCATCTAATCATTATATAATGAATTATTCTATGGAACAATATCCAAAAGATACTCACCTAACGTCTATTCATATACCTATAATGAATGAATTATCTTATAATATAAGTTCACAGAGTATAGCAATGAATAATAATGATTATAATATACATCCATTATGTAATAATGAATATATTCAAAACTCTTTTGAATTCATTAACCGTCAAGATGTTAATTTGTTGATGAATAATTCTTTGAAAGATCATTCAATTCATAATAATGAATTCAATAAAAGTCGAATAAAAAAAGTCGCTTCTTTAGATTTGAAACATTTGAAGAGTTCCACGAAAAAGACATTGATAAATATAATGAAGAATAAAATTGGATCAGAGAAATATCATAGATCATCTCGAAGATCTACAGGTAGATCTTAATTTCTTTACTGATAAATACACGAATATATATTATTAATAATTCGATTGTCGCTTAATTTCGTAGATTGATTGAAGTTAAACATGAACACCATTAGATGCTAACCGGCTCAGTGATATTGTGGTTAAGCGGTAGCTCGCAAGATTGTTAGGTATTGGGTTCGAATCTCGCTATGAGGAATCATGGATGCGCACTGCTGAGTAGTCTCATAATAGGACGAAATAGTCGTCCAGTGCTTCCAGATTTTCCATGGTGGTCAAGCTTCAATTGACTCGTGATTTCAACTATGAAATTACTGAAATCTCCACAAAAGCCCCTTCTAGTAATTTGATTTTTTTTCCTAAATAGTGATTAACTTTAGGTTATTATCATAAATCATATCACAATTAAGTGATTGGCACAACTTATGTTATTATCTCTGCTTCAAAAACTATGAATAGAGAATATCAGGTTTACTTTTTGAAGTATAAGCTGAATACTTACTTACATACACCTGTTACTTCCAATGGAGCATAATTTGCTGACAAGCATTCTCCAACTCACTCTGCCCTCAGCCTTCCTTTCTAGTTCTATCCAATTTTTGTTCATTCTTCTCATGTCTGTCTCCATTTCTCGTCGTAATGTGTTCATTTGTCTTCCTCTCCTCCTTTGACCTTCAGAATTTCAGGTGAGTGCTTGCCTTGGGATGCACTTGGGTGCTTTCCTTAGTGTGTGTTCTATCCACTTCCAGCACTTCTTCCTGATTTCTTCCTCCTCTGAAATCCAGCTTGTTCTCTCCCACAGTAACTTATTGCTGATAGTGTATTGCCATCTGATCCGAAGTATCTTGCAGAGACAACTGTGAATAAACACTTGTATCTTCTGGATAATGGCTTTCGTAGTTCTCCACGTCTTCGCTCCATACAGTAGAACTGTCTTGACATTTGTATTGAAAATTCTAACTTTGGTGTTTGTTGGCAAATGTTTTGAGTTGCAGATGTTTTTCAGTTGTAAATATGCTGCTCTTGCTTTGACAATCCACATCATCACATCTGCATCTGATCCACCGTGTTCATCAATGATGCTGCCTAGATATGTAAAGGTTTTCACATCTTCCAAAGCTTCTCCGTCAAGTGTGATTCAATTGATGCATGTTGTCTTGTATCGGAGAGTCTTGCTTTTCCCTTTGTTTATATTGAGACCTACCGCTTCTGAGGCTGCCGCTACAGTGGTCGTCTTTTCCTGACAGGATTATATTAGTGTATAAATATTTAGGTTTAGTTTAGTTTACCATGTCTTCAAAAGACTTGGTGTAATATAAAGTATAAAAGGACAAACAAAAAGACTAACAACATGTTTGAACCTGTTGAACAGATATAAACTGATTATCATAATAACTAACTGATATGTTTATAATGGTTTTAAATAACTGGCTTCATTGTATCATCAAAATTTAGATAAAAAACTGATTTGATGATTCTTAGAGTTTGCAGACGATTTATTTGGCTGACTACGTAGGGTTAGGAATGGTGTAGTACTTTTGTCTATAATGAACTTAGCTCTGTGAAGTTAAATATGGACCATGTGGCTTATTGAATGATTAACTGCCATGAGATCATGAGCTTCACATATTTCACATTGAATATACCTTAATTGTTCAATAATAAAACTTCACCTAATACCGAGTTTTATTTTTCGGTACCAACTGAGATCCATCGGTTCAGGTGACTCGATATATCTAGTAGGTTAACCTATTTAACAATGCAGTATAAGACTTATGTTGTGAGATGACAGTTTTCACTCCAGGATTCATACTAGTTATTAATCATTTATAGAAGAGTTCCTTTGATGTTTAGGATTACTTTACTCAATATGATAAATACTACCAACCAGCAAGAAATCCAATTACATAATCCAGGCCTATAATCCATCTATCATTAACTGAATAAATAATTATAGACATCAATCTATATGATACTGAATAACAAGGATTTAACTATTAGAAGAAGAATAGGTTTATTTGAGATGTTTAGATAGAAGTTTCCCTTACTAGTCAAGTACTATAATACATAGATAGGAAGTTTTATAAAAAAGGAAACAATTGAACTACCAAATTCAAACAACGAAACCTCATCAGAAACATTAGATTTAAACGAATAATGATGTAGAAACATCTATCTTATCAACCTGTGGTAACTGAGTCAATACAAGTATGAAATGTTAGAATTTAAACGAAACAAAATTACCTTATTATTTTAAACAATCACTACACTTTCATTTATTCAGCAAATCTTATAATATTCAGTTGGTAGGTTAAGGTTAGAATATAATCCTTCTTGGCTCAGTGGTCTATCAGTTAAGTGCTCTGGTGTGAGACTGGTAGGTCATGGGTTTGAATCTCGTGAGGTGGGATCGTGGGTGCTCAGCAGTTCCATAATAGAATGAAACGGCAAGTCCAGTGCTTCCAGATACTGAAATTTCCACAAAACATCTTCTGATTAAGTTTTATTGTTAAACAAATTCTGAAGAGAATAGCATTATATTACTAATTACTTGTAAATAATCTTCTAGTAGTCTGTATCTTTGTAAAATTTTATAGCAATGACTTAGACCCCTTATTTAAACTAATCAAAGTAAACAATTAATAAACATGAATCATAAAAGACTCCATATAATATTTCCTCATTTCTTATGGTACCGTTAGTTAATCGAAAGAATATAGTATGGTATTAAACTATTGACTTAAAACGCACCTCTATTAATGTTACATTTGTGTAAATGAACTTAACACGAGAAGTAATTTTAATAAAGTTGCAATCTATCTAGTTCATCTTTTCATCGTAACCTTGACCTTATACAAGCGAAAAAAATCTCTTAGTGAATAGGATCAATAGGATTCTATCTGCACTAAGAAAGATCTGACATATATGACATTGATCATCGTTCAGTGATCAATCAATTATAATACATCTCAGTCCTACAGGAGGTCAGTCGTGACCCGGAGAACTCAGTGGTAACGTTTCTGACTGTGAAACTTAGTAAAACGAGGTCGAATCCATCAGGGAGCATCAGTTCCCTCAAGATTACAGGTACACCTTACTGATGAGTGTCAAATAGCACGAAACCTACTTTCAAGTTTTCCTGTTGACTACCTCCAACTATCATCTAATCCCAACATAGTGAACGCAATTTCGAGTTACCTAGACTGGTGGACACATTGCAGCTTGATCGATAGGATTAGATCTGCACTAAGAAAGACCTGACATACATAATATTGATCACCACGCAGTGCAACTTTGTTGCCTTAAACAAACCTATCTTTATATTTGTATATTAAACAGAAGGATAATACTTTAACTGTTTAATGTGAGAAAAACAAATTGATAACACTTTTATTAAAGTAAAGATGCGAGTAGTAACAGAATGACAGAACATTGGAGATTGATTGCAGTGAATCAAGTCAACATTTAAAAAAAGTTTTAAAGTGAAAGATTTAATAATGGTGTAAAAAAATAAATGTACAGTCACTTGGTAATGTTAACTTGTATCTTCCCATTGATGTTTAGGACTACAATTGATCAATCTCTTGTTGCCATATGTGCATACTGTGCGGATTGCCTCGATATTACCTTAAGTCATATGCTCTTTAAACAAAGTTAGATAGCGGCTAACAGTAAAATCCAAGACTTACGTTTCGTCCCAGTTGGTACTCGTCAGCTGGGTGTAAGATGTGAATAATAATTATGTCCCCATCAAAGAATTAAAGGTTGACCAGAGCATTCAATTAGTACAGCTATATTATGAGAGATCATAGGCTAGATAAATATCTTTTACTAGTATTCATTACTTACGGTTAGCATTTTTTTTCGTGAGTTAGTTTTCTACGGGATGGAGTCGCTAACCCTATGCCCAACCCTCCTCCTTTATCTGGGCTTGGGACCAGCAGTAGCCCCCGGAGGAGGCACAAGCGGAGTTATTCTAGTATTCGTACCGTATAGTAAAGAGTTTAACATATCTGTTTTAAAAAATCACACTATCATAAATGAAACTTCAATGGTTTTTAGAAAGATTTTTATCTCTCATGAGTTGGCTCACATGCCGTATCTGATTTCTTTTGGATAGACTGCAGCGAAATTATTCCAAGAATTTACCAACTTACATTAATGTTCCATAAACGTAGGCTTTTTTTAATCATTTAAGGTCTACAAATAACAGAACTTTACATTTTAAGAAAAATATATTGGACATAAAATTAAGTCACTATGAGCTAACGGAGAGACTATAAATTACGGACGAACCAATCAGGTATAAGTTAAGAAGTCTTGGATCTTGGCACGAAATTCATTCATCCATTTGGATAAATGCCGTTTTGGCACTATAACTGATGTCAACTCGTTATGAAAACCCTAAATTTAATTCCTAACCCTAACGATTAACTGTAAATCATAATTTTGATCCCTCACACTGGTTTATAATCTTCATTTGGTCCTCGTTATTAGGTGGACACTCTCAAGGTCAGTTTAGCATCACTCAATGGTCATTCATTAATTATATTCTCACCTCGCTTGTTAATGATAATTCTAAGCTATCAATCTGAGAGAATTTCAATAAATTATAATGAAACCTTCACTGAAATATACACCATTCCAGTACATTGAAGATGTCCGCCTTTGAGCTAGAAAAGTGTTCATCCACGATAACGCAAGTCAGATTAGAACACAGGACATTCGGTCTCACATGCGAACACTTAAACTCTAGACCACTTAGCCGGTCAGCATCCAACAGTGTTAGCATCTAACTTCAACCAATCCACGATATTGCGCCACCGTCCATTATTTTGTTCAGTGAGTAACTGTCTCACAACAGACACGGATGAACTCCTCTGAACACGACTTCTTACTAGAACTCCATGAAATACCTCTTGAAGCCAGTCACTAGTGAGCACTTACCTTTTCGTTTATTAATCATCCCAATGACGAAATGAACACCATCAAAATGAACTAAAAATGTTTCCTCAACATCTTTAAATCTTGTAATTTTTTCATTCTCTCTCTTGTGTAAAACCATATGTTGAAGCCAGTAAATAGATTTCAAAGGTTTTTTTCGAAAGCTGTTTCTTACCATACAAACCGATACATTAAAAACTTAAGGTGAATTTTCAGTTTATAGATATCACACTTGAATTATTTCAGAAATGAGACATTCACTAAGGATCTTGATGTTGAGCTTGAATGTCGATCGAACCATAATTGAATTGACATTATTGATATTATGATATCGAAATAATTAAGCAACCAACACAAGTCAAGTATTTCCATAGTTATCATATGTTTGACATAAGATTGACTACCTGATATCCTAGTTACTGAATTAACCGGTACTTCGATGCACTATTATGTTCAAATTGAGATCAAGTAAATTCAGAACACAATATGTTCATTTATCAAACGGTTGGTAAAACTCCCAGTGAAATATTAAGAGGTCTTCTTCATTGTATACTGTCTACAGTAGCTTAAAATTGACTAAATAAGTCACATATGTATTTGATAAGGTACTAAATCCGAGTTTATTACACAGTTTGTCCTTGATTAATTTAACCTTAAATCGTCAAGCTGAACTAAGTGTTTTGAAGATAATAACAAACAAAGGAATGGTATTGATCTATGTATGATCATATCAACCAATATTGATATATTTAAATTCAGAAACCATACCTCCTACCGTAATTCAAACAACACTCTAAACAGAAACATTGGCAATCAGATATCTCAGTTTCAACTGAAAGCTACTGTGTTAAAATTATTATGTTTTTTCAGAAATCGATATCAGTCGAAGTTTAGTTTGGTGAAAGACTTCCTAAACTCAGTTAGTTCACAATTATGTAATATACCCTTATGGGCCAGGGTAATTTTACATTGGTTTTCGAGAGAATGAGATACTACTCATACTTTCACGTGACAACCCAAACAGTACAGCTCAACGCCGTTTCACACCATATTGGCTTTAACGCCACAATCTGAATAGTACAGCTCAATCCTGTGGCACAACCACTCAGGTACCAAGCACCCTGGTGGACCATTCGCACCATTCATATACATATTCACATTACATGTATAATTATTACGATCAATGATTGCGTAAATCAATTATGCACAGCATGAACAGGCCAAAGTTGACCCATTCCGCTTACACGACAGTCAAACCCATTAATGTTATCAATGGCGATATGCCTTACGATGATCCAATGACAAAAGCCCTTGAGAACACTGAGAAGCAACCACCAGTATGAAGGAAATCGGTTAACCGGCAAACCAATTTTACGCATGAAAAGTTAGCAAAACTTGCCAAAGTAATGCCGAAGCATTCACAATATCAATGGCGAACCTTCAGTCTCATATGAGACCTTCAGATCTACATATCTTATACTGCATACAACATACATATAGGGTAGTAAACGAAACAGCCCAGCCTGAAGCGTTAGGGCATAAATAATGCTTAAAACCCATTGTCTAGAATCGGAATACTATCACAATACCATCAAGATCATTTTGATCCCATTCGCAAAATTTTCATTTTTTTTTGACTTTCCAGACCTTGAGTTAGGAGTAGTGTCCCTTCAAAAAAAGAAACCAAAAATAGTAACTAATCACTGTACTAAGTAACAGTTTTAATGCTTTCAATCACCCTAATGAATTGACTGACATTTTGGTCATAACATTATTGACGTAAACTATCTCATGCTTTAAATCTATCTGAATATGCTAATCAATTGTTTTACTTCTTTTATACATTTCATTGACAGTTATTTTGTTTCCGAATGATAGTAGTATGATAATGGTTTACTGTAATTAATCAACCATTTATAAAGTTTGTTATCAATTATTAGAAAAGCTGAAACTTTAACTTAACAGTTTTTAGGTCAACATTGATAGTTTTAATGTTTAAAAATCTATGTATATAGCTCTTTTACAGCTTTTGAAAAGAAACGAAAATGATATAAACTATATCTGACAATCATTATAAACAAAGATGAATAGTGGCTAGCAGTGGAATGCAGTTGGACGTACATTTCGTTCTATTTGGGACTCGTCAGCTGGATGTACCTGTATCTCAGAGTTGATGTTCACTCTGGGACTTGAACCGAACATTGTTCGCTTCAAACTCCATAGCGTTATCCACTTCACCAATGAGTCCTGATAGCCATTAATTTGTGAAATGGGATGAAGTTTAAATTCGCTAGGTATTGTTTGGTTGAATCTTCCCATTGTTATTTAGGATTGCAATTGATCAGTCTCTTATTGGCTATATGTGTATACTGTGGATATTGCCTCGATATAGCCTCTTAATTCACAAGCATTATAAACAATGATATATCTGATAATGTTCAGTCTTTTGGATATCTCTATCAATTACGATGTCGACTTGAACAGTATAACTGTCAGTTATCAATTAACTTTTATAAAATACTTGAGTAGATTTTCTTTTTAATTTCTCTTTATGGTCAAAAATATCATTCAAAGTCAGTTAACGCTACATCATTTAAGATTCTAGAAAGGTTAGAAATATTGCTACCTTCCACATAGCCAGTATAAACATGTGTGTCGCTTTCAAAGATTCATACTGTTCTTGACTGAATTTGTTAGTAGTATAACTCTCACTGTGATATCAAAATAAAATGGTGCTCAAGTTGAATACTATTGGGAAGTTCCAAACATCAAACTTAATTATAACAATATACAGCAATTGGTCCACCAGGATGTTTGGCACCTGAGTGGTTGCGCCACAGGATTGGCTTCTGCTTGCTCGGATTGTAGCGTTGAATACTATATAGTGTCTGGTTCTTCTATAGGGCGGGATTGAGTTGTACTGATTGGGTTGCCGCGTAAAGGTCTGGATGGTGTCTGGTTCTCCTGAAAACCAGTGCAAGATAACCCTGGCCCATAAGGTTTTATTATATAACTATATACAGCAATAGACAAACAACTTAGGTCAATTCAAAATATATTTCTTCTCTTTGTCATCTTCAGATTATAAATCCCCGTTGGCACCAAATCAATATCAAACAAATCTGAGCCAAGATAATAAAAATAACTCAGATATGCTTATGTCTCCAGATTCTTCTCCTACTAGTTCTTCATTATTGTCATCATGTTTCTCCCTTTCATCTTTATCATCATCAGCTTCATCATCATCATCATCATCATCATCGTCTGCGACTTCATCTCCTAAAAGCTATTTTCCAATGCATGATAAACTGCTCAATCTAAAATCCCGATCCTTTTCACTGAAACGATCCCCATTTAAATTATCACAATTTTTATATTACCTACTCAATAAATCTGAATATAATCCACATTTAATTTGTTGGGTAGACAAATCACAAAATATGTTTAAATTAGTCAATAGTGCAGCAGTTGCTCATTTATGGGGTTTACATAAACACAAACCAAATATGAATTATGAAACAATGGGAAGAGCACTTAGGTAAGTCCTACGAAACTCTTTAAATGTATTTAATTATATTCGACTAATTTTGGTTAAGAACTCTTAATTGATGAAGATGTCATACGGATCCTAACAGTTTTGATGGGCCGTCCAGTGTTTTCAGGTTTCCATGGTGGTTTAGCTTCAATTGAATCACGCTTTCAACTATGATAAATACTAAATCTCCACAAAACCCCTTCTGATAATTTATGTAAACTAGTTTGATTACAACGATGATTAACAGAAGTTCACATATTCAAGGATTCATGAGCTAGTTGAAGCTAGACCACCATGAAAAACCTGGAAGAACTAGACGTCCGTTTCGTCCTATTATGGCTGTCCAGTGCTTCCAGGTTTTTCATGGTGGTCTAGCTTCAATTGACTTATGGTTTCAACTTTGAAAATACTGAAATCTCCACAAAATCCCCTTCTGATTCATGTGCTTTTGTTAGGTTTTAGGCATGCTACAATGATGAATTTCAATGTATCATACTGTGAACATTTAACATTAAAACAAATTGCACTGGAATATTTAATAACGAATTCTCGTAAGTTATCTCCACTTATGAGTTAATAGCCCGAGATCAAAATTGACGAATGTTTTATTATCTTTAGGGATATATAGGCTGAAGTAGTTTCTATCGCAGAACAGTTCTATTGAAGATAGCAGGATTAGTGTTGACAGAAAGTCTAATTATATAATCCTCTTTCACGCAGAAAAGTCCTTTGCATTGGTTGGTTAAACCTTAAGGAAAAGGAGAATAAAACTGACTAACATCAACATAGACAAAGTGATAGTAAGACATAAATATCAAGTTTATTTATATTGAATTCAAATGCAGACATTTGAAATTACTTTACCATTTGAAAATTGTTTAATGCATTAAATTTCACAGAAACTGGTAATAATGAGCAAACATACATGGTAAATCAAGGTTCGTAAAAGTAATTAAAAAACAGAGATTTACAGTACATTTAATGAAAAACCGATCGATGTTAGATCACCTTTGTAGACCTGGAAGCACTGGACAACCGTTTTTGTCCTAGTACGGGACTACCCTGCAATGCGTACCTCCTACCCGGCAAGTGGGATTCGAAAATAGGACCTTTGGTCTCGTGTGCGAACTCTGCAGCTATAGATCACCAAGCCGGTATCTAACGGTGTTAATGTCTAATTTCAACCAATTCACGAAATTACGCTACCATCTTTCATTGTACTGAGGTAGATAGCTGTCTCTACCTGACACGGATTAACTGTGCTAGTCACGGCTTCTCACTAGAACTTTGAAATTTCCCTCATGAAGCTAATAACTAGTGAGCACATGGTAATTATCAGCATGGGTTTTTTAGAGATTGTTAAGTTTATGATTATGATCATGAATCGGCCGATGTTCTAGTGAAAAGCCATGACCAGTAGAGTTCAACTATGTCTGCTGTGAGATAGTAACTCTCTGAAAACAATGGTAAATGGTTTGCTCAATTTCGTGGATTGGTTGAAGTTAGACATTAACATCGTTGGATGCTGATCGGCTCAGCGGTCTTGAGTTTATGCGTTTGCGCGCGAGACTGATAGATTTTGGGTCCGAATCTCGTGAGGCGGGATCGTGGATGCGTACGAATGAGGAGTCTCATAATAGAATGAAATCTTATTAACTTGAAGGAAACTTGCTTTTGTCAAGTTTTCTTAAGGTCTGAACCCAGCTTTTCTGTAATGAACCAGTTATTCTAAGCGAACATTTCTGAAGTTTAAGTTCATGGCTTATAATCAATTAATTAAAGTGTTATATTCAGAATAATATATGACTATATTTTAATAGTTGAGATCATGAATTAATTGAAGCTAGACCGGCATGGAAAACCTGGAAGCACTGAATGGCCGTTTCGTCCTATAGTGGGACTCCTCAGCAATGCTCATCCACGATCCCGCCCCACGAGATTCGAACCCAGGACGTATGAGTTTCGCGCGCGAGCTCTTAACTATATATTGAGTATAAATAAAGAGCAATGTAAAAATCAACATTATTTTGACTGTTGTTTTTATTTCTGTTACATCATATTTCGTTTAGGTATTATTATGCACAGAATATTCTACGAAAAGTCAAAGGACAACGTTTAGTTTATCAATTCTTGGAAGATTTTCATAAAACTCAACATCCTCCTACTACTACTGCTCCTACAATATCATTTCCATCTTCATTCATGACAACTACAGTGACAACAACTACCACTACATCAATAACAAAGATGATACCATCACCTATAACAATAACAAACTAAACCATAATAACAGAATTTTCGGAAAGGAATACAAAACCCAATATAATTACACTTAATTAATCTCCTATTCCGGTATCTATGACTTTATTTCAGAGAAAAAAATATGTTTCTGATCAAACATTTAGGCATTTTATTTAATAACTATGATGACTACTACTACTTACTTACGCCTGTTACTCCCGATAGAGCATAGGCCGTCGCCGCTGAGGACGAGCACTACTACTATTACTACTAATCATTCTACTATCTGAAAATCTAAGTTAAAATAACAATCATGATATCAAAAGTAAAACTGACTATAATTTACACTTAAAAGGTCTATTGATCATTAATTTGTTTATGTTAATGTTTCCAACCATCCAATTCTTTTACTGTAAATGTGCTTATAATTACAATGACATTCAGAAATATATGATATTACATATGTGAGTTCATTTCTCAAGTAAAATTTAATGTTAGAAGGGGGTTTTTGTAGATATTATAGTATTTTTCATAGTTGAAATTATGACTCAATTGAAGCTAGACGAACATGGGAAACCTGGAAACACTGAACGACCTGGGTTCGAATCTCATGAGGTGGGATCGTGGATGCACACCGCTGAGGAGTTTCACAATAGGACGAAATGGCCGTTCAATGCTTCCAGGTTTTCCATGCCAGTCTAGCTTCAATTAATTCATGATCTCAACTATTAAAATTTATTGATTGAGTAATATCTTTTCTTATCCATGAAACAGTGTTCAATATTCTGGATAAGCACACTAGGATGAAATGGCCATCCAGTGATTCCAGGTTTTCCATGCCAGTCTAGCTTCAATTGACTTATGATTTCAACAATAAAAAAGAGTTTCTACAAAACTTCCCTTTGATGAAAGCATAATTAGCATAATTTATATCTGACTAAGCAATCAGAGAGAAAATACATTTAAAGTATTAATAAACTAAGATAAATATAAACCATCAATAATAATAGTTTGGGGTGAATATAAATGTGGTTGGTCAGGGTTGTGGACTGACAGAGATATCTTACTGACTAGTTAATTTATAATAAAGTTCCTATTATTTATCACTGTTCTGGACTTATTAGAAGTAGACTACTTGTAATTGTGTTCAGTAAAGTATTGTTTAGCTATTATATCAGTTTGAATTATTCAAATGCCGATAAGTCTTTGCTTGGATAGTTGTGGAATTGAGAAGAAACAACTCGACGATGTTCGGAATAAGTAAAACCCATTGAACCCAAGTTGAACAGAAAAGGTTAGATACAGTAAAGGTGCTGTTGTACTATGATGGCGAAAAAGGAAATGCGCCATACATGCAAGGATTTGATATGATGCTATCCAAAGGAGCACGGAAAGCATTTATTGGATGGAAATCTCATGTCAGGTAAACGTTAACTTGGAATCCTGAAGGGAAACGAAAAGCAGAAAGCCAGTGAACACACTGTGTTAGGAATCGGAGGCAGACATGAAAAGGATGAATAGCAACTGGAAAGAACTGGAAAAGATTGCTCATGACATAGTTGGTTGGACAATGCTGGTGTGTGGCCTATGCTCCTCCCTGAGGTTTAATAGGTTTAAGTAAGAAAGTAAGTTTGCTGGGATATTTGCATCCTGAACAGATTGTTTCTATATAGTCATTCTATAACAGGTTTTATATTTAATAGGTGGATTTTGGCAAGCAATAGAATTCAGGACGTGACGTTCTTTCATCATCAATTATACTAAAAGTGTTGATGCTCACATTATCATTGAAGTGTATTTTCTTTTTCATGTTATCTATTTCATATAGTACTTTGACTGTGATTATTACTAATATTGATTTTCTTATCTTCTAGAAGAACGGTCTAAGATCTTATTATTTCAGTGTATTCAGTTCAATCTCTGACTATGTCATTTTCCAAAATGATAGATATTCGTCAGTACCTGGACTATAGGATATCAGAACCTGTATTGCACACAAGAAAGATAATTGGTTAAATAAACAAAATATTTCTTTTTAGTGATATTTCATGAATCCTTCTGATTATAGTATACGATATACGATTAAATCAAATAACCCTCTCCCCTCCACATAACTAAACGTAGGATATATAAACTGATGTGTGGGCGAGAATGATTATGATTGGTTGTATTGCTTAGTCAGCATAAGATAGTCTAACAGGTGTCTTCCCCTATCCTTATTACTTGTTCTTCTTCTTCTTATTTATTTATTTATTTATTTAAACACATAAATATTGGTACAAAGGGGTACCAGATACATATGCGCCACACAAATCTTATTTGATTTGTGTAAGAGCTATGATACTACCCGGGTGCCTAAACTGAAGTAGGTGGTTTTCTTAGGGGACCGCATCCGGAGCCTTTGACCTGAAGATCTGATCCACAAGACAATGGAGCATCGTGAGAAGATTCAGTCTCATGGTAGCCGTTGATCAACAATTGATTAATACGCCATTTGTTCCCTCAGGATACTGGAGACCATGTGTACCATTTGTTTGGAATCAGGGTTTTCCAACTCCTCTATGTGAATTTTACATGTCTACCAACCCGATTAGAGTGCCGGACATTCGCTTATCGTCCTCTCAATTTCGTAAACAACAGTAATGCGGCGAGAAGGCAGTGAGTAGGACTTCCCTATCAGAGTCTATACACTCGTGGTCATATGAGAGCGTTTCGAGAGGCCGTACCAGGGCTTTCCTGGGCATTTATTATTATTGATTGATTGTCCATTTGTTGTTGGATTGTGTCGAAGTTTGGTGTGAAAATATATTTACATTTCAGTCAGTCTAATCATGTGTTCTTGATCTGAGTTGTTTTGAAGTCCTATATATGATACTCTTAATTTTGAAGTATAGAGATTATCATTACTGAAATGGCCAAAATAAATTATCTAAATGTATTTATAATTTCAACTAGAAGTCATTACATCATTTGGCGAAACTGTAATTTATGGACGAACAAATCAGTTATCAAGTAACAGGTCTCGGATTTTGGCGCGAAATTCATTGATCCATTTGGATAAATAGAGTTTTGGCATTATAACTGATGTCAGTTCATGATAAAAAAACCTCAATCTAATTACTAACCCTAATCATCAACTGTAAATCATAATTCTAATTCCTCACACTGGTTTATAACCATCATACGGTACTGGTTATTAGGTAGACACTTTCAAGCTAACTTTAGCATCGCTCAATCGTCGTCCACTAATTATAGTCTCACTCATTATTAAAAATATTCTAGGCTTAGTTTAAACATATAAACCAGAAATGTAAAGATGGTTAGTGGCTAGCAATGTAATCGAAGACTATTTGGGACTTGTCAGCTGAATGTACCTTTATGCCAGCATTAATATTCATTCCAGGACTCAAACCCAATACCGTTCGCTTCAAACGCCATCACGTTATCCACATAGCTACTGAGTCCTAATAGCCAATTACTTATGCAATGGAATGAAGTTTAAATTCACTTGGTATTATTTTACTTAGAACTTCTCATTGATGTTTAGGACTGTAATTGATCAGTCTTTATTTTATCATAACCATATTATGAAATACATATCACTATGCTTATTTGGAACTAGAAACTACTTAAATTCACTCGATATCGTTTGTTTGAATCTTCCCATTGATGTTCATGACTGCAACTGGTCAGTCTCTTATTGGCATATGTGCATACTGTGTGTATTGCCTCGATGTAGCCTTCATTCACAAGCATTATAAGCAAAGATGGATAATGGCTAGCAGTGGAATCCAGGACACGCGTTTCATCCTACTTGGGACTCGTCAGCTGGATGTACCTGCACATATGGTCAATAAGATACTGATGAATAGTAGTCCTAAACGTCGATGGGACGAATCAAACAAACAATTCTAAGTAAATTTAAACTTCATTCCATTGCACAAGTAAGTGGTTATCAGGACTTATTGGCTAAGTGGATAACGTGATGTTGTTTGAAGCGAACGGTATTGGGTTCAAGTCCCAGAGTGAACGTCAATTCTCAGTTGCAAGTACATCCATCGGACGAGTTCCAAATAAGACGAAACTTGCGTCTAGCTGGATTCCACTGCTATCCACTATCTATCTTTGCTTACAAACTACTTAATCCATAATTTCTATGAAAACCATTCAATATAATCTATCAAATCATCATCTCATAGAAACATGAGAATACCTAAATATGGAACTGATTAAGTTTTCCTTTTTTTAAAAAAAAAGAGACAAAAAAACTTCAGTTACGTGTGTAAATGTATTTGACAAATGATTTATGTGTCATATAGTTAAACATTAAAAAGAATTTTGAAATCAACTGTCACTTTATTATGATTATTATTGAGATGGATACAATTATTATAAAAGTCTATACATCCTTACTTACTAACTACATACAATGTCTCCAAGGTTTCAAAATGTTTTTCTCTTTTCTTCTAAATGAAGCGGATACATATTCATCTTCATGTAAAACTAAATAAAGTACATGATTATTATTATTTGTTGTTGTTGTTGTTGTTGTTAACTGCCTAAATTTTAATCGGTACCACCACCACTACCACCACCACCACCACCACTACTACTACTACCAGAACCAGAACCACCACCATCATCATTCAAAAAATATGATGGATTTTAAAATGATATAAAATATGACGCCAGTAACTTATCATGTTTATGACAGGAGGTAAAAAAAAATCTTTTTCTCAGAAAAAAACACAAAAAAAAGACGTTCAACATGATCTTTGTTAGCATTTAAATGATTATTTCATTAGTACAGACATATTACGTATTTATATATTACAGTTTTACTGTTTATCTTAGATTTTTTCTGATGTATAAACAATTGATTTTTATGGTTAGCACTCTTTTTTAGTGGTTAGTTTCCTAGGGGATGGGGTCACTAACCAACCCCATACCCAACACTGTTCCTTTACTTGCGCTTAAGACCGGCAGTAACTCTAGAAGAGGTATAGGAAAGCACTGCTTTCCTACAATTGAAGAAAATATGTAACTCAAACTAACTGTTTGCAAGCCATCATCAAAGTGAGAATCTTTAATATGAATGTCAAGTTAGTTCTACTATATGGAGCTGTAAATTGGAGAACCCCTACAGTCATCATCAAAAATGCACAAGTATTTATAAACAATTTTTTACACAAGATACTGAATGTTCATTGACTGGATACCATCAACAATAGAATACTGTGAGAGAGAACAAGCGAACAAACGCAGTCCTACTATACGGAGCTGAAAAGTGTAGAACTACTACAACTATCATGAAGAAGGTACATGTATTTATAAACAATTGTCTATGCAACATACTGAATCTCCATTGACCAGATAACACCAATAACATCGTTTTGTGAGCGAAGACAAACCAGCTTCCATCTGAATAGGAAATTATTAAAAGATGTTGTAATGGATAAGGCATA